GCACGGGGGGGCAGCGGGGAAGCACGGGGGGGCAGCGGGGGGTGTATGGGGCAGTGGGGAAGCACGGGAGGCAGCGGGGGGGAAGCAGGGGGGGCTGCCGGGGGGGGGGTCTCACCTTTGAGGATGGCCTGCAGCGAGGCCACCTCCTCCTGGCAGTGGCGGCGCACGGTGGCCACGGCCTCCTGCTTGGTGCCCTCGCTCACGGTGGCCACGGCTCGCAGCGTCTCCACCTCGGCCAGCGCGGCCGCCAGCTCCCCCCGCAGCGCCTGGATCCTTCCCCCGGGGTCGGGGCCCGGCTCCGCGCCCACCACTGCCACCGGCAGACCGGGCTCCTGCAGGGCTGCGGGGCCCCCCCCCAGCCCATCCGCCCCACACGGCTCTGGGGGCAGAGATGGGGGGGTCACAGACCCAGCCTGCCGGGGTCACCCCCTAACCCCCCACCCAGGACACCAGAGCCCCTCCCTCAGGGGTCACTCCCCCCCCCGCACCCTGAGCCCCTCCACCCGGGGGCACTTCCCCCCCCCCGCACCCTGAGCCCCTCCCCCCGGGGGCACCCCCCACCAGAGCCCCTCCCCCCGGGGTCACTCCCCTCACCTCTGCGCCCCTCCCCCCAGGGTCACTCCCCCCCCCGTACCCTGAGCCCCTCCCCCCGGGGGCACTCCCCCACCAGAGCCCCTCCCCCGGGGGCACCCTGAGCCCCTCCACCCAGGGTCACTCCCCTCACCTCTGCACCCTGCGCCCCTCCCCCGGGGTCACCCCCCCCGGGGTCACTCCCCCCCGTACCCTGAGCCCCTCCCCCGGGGGCACTCCCCCACCAGAGCCCCTCCCCCCGGGGGCACCCTGAGCCCCTCCACCCGGGGTCACTCCCCCCCATCCCCGTACCCTGAGACCCTCCCCCCGGGGTCACCCCCCCACCAGAGCCCCTCTGCACCCTGCGCCCCTCCCCCCGGGGTCACCCCCCCTCCGCCCCTCCCCCCGGGGTCACTCCCCCCCCCCGTACCCTGAGCCCCTCTTCCCGGGGGCACTCCCCCACCAGAGCCCCTCCCCCGGGGGCACCCTGAGCCCCTCCACCCAGGGTCACTCCCCCTCCGCCCCTCCCCCCGGGGTCACTCCCCCCCCCGTACCCTGAGCCCCTCCCCCGGGGGCACCCTGAGCCCCTCCACCCAGGGTCACTCCCCCTCCGCCCCCTCCCCCGGGGTCACTCCCCCCCCCCCTGAGCCCCTCTTCCCGGGGCACTCCCCCACCAGAGCCCCTCCCCGGGGGCACCCTGAGCCCCTCCACCCAGGGTCACTCCCCCTCCGCCCCCTCCCCCCGTACCCTGAGACCCTCCCCCCGGGGTCACCCCCCCACCAGAGCCCCTCCGCACCCTGCGCCCCCTCCCCCCGGGGTCACCCCCCCCCCCGTACCCTGAGACCCTCCCCCCGGGGTCACTCCCCCCCATCCCCGTACCCTGAGACCCTCCCCCCGGGGTCACCCCCCCACCAGAGCCCCTCTGCACCCTGCGCCCCCTCCCCCGGGGTCACCCCCCTCCGCCCCTCCCCCCGGGGTCACTCCCCCCCCCGTACCCTGAGCCCCTCTTCCCGGGGGCACTCCCCCACCAGAGCCCCTCCCCGGGGGCACCCTGAGCCCCTCCACCCAGGGTCACTCCCCTCACCTCTGCACCCTGCGCCCCTCCCCCCGGGGTCACCCCCCCCTCCGCCCCTCCCCCGGGGTCACTCCCCCCCCCGTACCCTGAGCCCCTCCCCCCGGGGGCACCCTGAGCCCCTCCACCCAGGGTCACTCCCCCTCCGCCCCTCCCCCCGGGGTCACTCCCCCCCCGTACCCTGAGCCCCTCCCCCGGGGGCACCCTGCGCCCCCCCCCCGGGGTCACCCCCCCCCCTCCGCCCCTCCCCCCGGGGTCACTCCCCCCCCGTACCCTGAGCCCCTCCCCCCGGGGGCACCCCTGAGCCCCTCCACCCAGGGTCACTCCCCCTCCGCCCCCTCCCCCCGGGGTCACTCCCCCCCCGTACCCTGAGACCCTCCCCCCGGGGTCACCCCCCCACCAGAGCCCCTCCGCACCCTGCGCCCCTCCCCCCGGGGTCACTGCCCCCCCCCCCGTACCCTGAGACCCTCCCCCCGGGGTCACTCCCCCCCCGTACCCTGAGCCCCTCCCCCCGGGGGCACCCTGAGCCCCTCCACCCAGGGTCACTCCCCCTCCGCCCCTCCCCCCGGGGTCACTCCCCCCCCGTACCCTGAGACCCTCCCCCCGGGGTCACCCCCCCACCAGAGCCCCTCCGCACCCTGCGCCCCTCCCCCCGGGGTCACTCCCCCCCCGTACCCTGAGACCCTCCCCCCGGGGGTCACTCCCCCCCCCCGCACCCTGAGCCCCTCCCCCCGGGGGCACCCCCCGCCTCGCACCCTCCATGCTCGGCTCGCGGCTCCCCCCGCCGCAGGCTCCGCACTTCCGCGTTCGGGGCCAGCGGGGGGCGGGGCCAGCCGGGTGGTTCCGGAAAGAGCCGAGCGGATCCGGAGGGAGCCGAAAGCCCGAGCCCGGCCGAGGGGTCTCGGGAGGCAGCGGAGAGGCCCGAAGGGGCGGGGCGGGGTCTGTCTGCGGGGCCGCCAGCCCAGGCCTACGGGCAACCCCGCCCCCCGCAACCGCATCGCCCCTGGCAACCGGTCCTGGCAACAGCCTCGCCCTGGCAACCACCTGGCAACCGCAGCCCCGTGGCAACCAGCACTTGCAACGGCCTCTCCCTGGCAACCTCCCTCTCCATGGCACCCCCCCGCGACCACCCCTGGCTATCTCCTCTCCCTGGCAACCACCCCAACAACCACCTCTCCCTAGCTACCACCCTGGCAACCGCATCTCCCCTGGCAACCACCCTGGCAACTGCCTCTCCCTAGCTACCAACCCCAGCAACCACATACCCCTTTTCTTTTTGTAAATCTCTCTGGTAACCACCCCGGCATCTGCCCTTGGCAACTGCATCCCCCTGGCAACTGTGTACAGAGTCACTGGATCAGTGCTCTGGAACTACTTCGAATGAAGCCAGTCAGGAGTCACCAAGGCGAGAAGCCCACATGGCTTCTGCTTCCTGGGTCTGACCTCAGAGCATTCAGCATCCTCTTCCACACAGTGCGCTTCCCGCAGGGAGTCTGCCCAGGCCGGACCCCTGGGGTAGCCAGAGAGCCCTGCACTCCAACTCTGCAGCCAATCGGGACACTGAGCCAGCGTGTGACACAGACGGGTTATTAGTCGACAGGAACACAGCATAGGACAGAGCTTGTTAGCACAGACATCAGGAACATTCAGTAAAGTCCACTGTAGTGGGAAGGAAGCCCAGAGCCAGGGTCCTGACCCTCCCCCTGAGGCCCAAGCCAGCAGAGACTGACTGACTTCCATCTGCCTGGCCTCTGACACCCCCATTGCCCCTCCTCTGGTCTTTGTCTCGCTTCCTGGGCAAAGTGTGACCTGGTTGCATCCCCCTCCTGGGTCTCAGGTTATGAAGGGCACCGTCCATCACCTATGTTCAGGCAGCTGGAGCCACCTCACCTGCCCCAAGGGTCTCAGCAAAAGTCACACACCCTTATTCCCACCACCTAGGCACTGGTGCAGTACACAGAGAAACTGAGGCACACACAGTATTCATGCAAAACAGTGAGACTCACATAGGCTCACATATAACATAATAAGGAGGAAAAAACCCACTTTGTCACAACCGCTCTTTGGTGATGAGCTCCTCTTTCTACTCACTGCCAGCAACCACATCCTCTTGGCAACCGCCCCCACCCCCCACCCCCCCACAATCACCCCCAGCAACCAAGTTCCTCTGACAACCACTGCCTTAGGGACCCTGGCAACCACCTCCCCCGTCCGTCCGTCCCCACACACACACACTAGCATCTCTCCCCTCTTCTGTGGGGTTGGGCCTGAAAATCACAGATCAGGCCTAGGAATCACAGGCTGTTCTTAAAAAGAAAAGGAGTACTTGTGGCACCTTAGAGACTAACCAATTTATTTGAGCATGAGCTTTCATGAGCTACAGCTCACTTCATCCGATAGTTAGTCTCTAAGGTACCACAAGTACTCCTTTTCTTTTTGCGAATACAGACTAAGACGGCTGTTACTCTAAAGGCTGTTCTTACTCCTTGCACCACACACACACACGAATGAACAATGTGGATTCGCTGCCTCACTGAACCTTCAGCGGCATCATTTCCAGCCCCCCACCACCACCACCTGCACACACACACACACGCCCTGTCTATGCCAGTGAGAGCTGGGATTCCCCTGCCAATCCCTGACTCTAGGAGCTGAGGATTTAGGGATAACTTGGGACATGGTGAGACCATCAGGCCTGACCCCCAGGCAGAAAGCAGCCCCCTCCCTGTCCCATCTCCCCCCCCCCGCCCCCGTGCTCCTAGTGCACCTGCAAGGGTGTTTACACCACCCAGAGTCCCCCAGGGACATACCAGGAAATGTGGAGGCCGGGTAGAGAGAGACACTCGCAGACACAGGGCCTGCACTGGGGCGGACAGGGAGCATGGCGGGGATGCAGGGTGGGAAGGACACAGGTGGGGGTTCCATGGGGTGAAGGGGACACACTAGGGAAGATGGGGTGGAGCTACCCACGAGAAGGGACACAGGATGTGGGGCAGCAAGATAGGGTGGGTGGTCACAAGTTGGGGGATGTGTGTGGGGGGGAGATGGGGTCAGGGGATGTGGTCTGCCCCCATCTCCTTTCCCCTTCAGTCGATGCCTTGTCACAGGCAGAAAATCCCAGGGGCGTTCAGGCCTCGTCCCTCCAAGCAGAGAACTCACCCCCAATCTATGGGGTGCACCCCCTCTTGGCACCCTTCTGCTGTAGAGCCCCATGACCCTTCTCCACCAGCTGCAGGGCCCCTGGCTACCCCCTGGGACCCTCTGCTGAGAATGTCATGGTCCAGGGCCCCGCCCGCCACAACCACAAGGCCCTGCTGGAAATAGCAGCCCTAGCTCTGGGCCCGCCCACCCCCGGGGCCCTCCCCTCGCCAGGCGCCGCGGGGCCATTGCACTGGGCACAGGGGATGGCGCCTGAGCTGCACGGCCTCCTGCTGCTGACGCTGCTGGTCTGGGTGGTAGCGGCCAGGATCGGGGCCCCCCCGAGGCAGGGGGAAATGGCCAGACGGGTCAACACCACAGGTGGGAGGTTCTGGGGGAAGCAGTGGCCCAGGGAGACCCTGGGGGGAAGCCAGGGTGCATGTGGGGAAGGTTGGGCCCTGGGGACTGGCAGGAGGCTAAAGGGGGAGCAGGGGAGTGTCTGGGCCAGGGCTGGGCCCAGGTGATGTCTCAGGGCTGGGGGAGCCAGGGGGCGTGTGGGAGAGGCCGGCGAGCTGTGACAGGTGGAGGATGGGCCAGGCAGTGGCTGGACCGGGCTGGGATCGTAGGGTCGTGGTGCGGAGGCTGCTCTGCGGGATCAGGCCACGGCAGGGCTGGGGAAAGGCGGGGGGCTGTGACTGAGGGGGGAGGCTGGGAGGTCATGGCTGGGGAGGAGGCTGGTTCCCCATTTATGTGTCTCTTCTTCCACCCCTCCCCCCCCAGAGTTGAAGGCTGCAGTCCTGCCCTGTGGGGGGTCCGGGGCTGTGTATGGGGACCCCCCCACTCAGTTGTCACTCTCCTGGCTGTGGAGGGGCCCGTGGGGCCAGGAGCTGCTGAGCCTGAACGCAAGCCTGGGGGAGCCGCCCCCCCGCACCAGGATGGGCATCGGGGTCTGGGGGTCACTGGTGCTGCCCAATGTCTCCACCTCAGACGCAGGCGTCTACAGCTGCGAGTGGGACGGGGACAGCGGGGGAAACGTGCTGCTCAATGTGCCAGGGAGCCGTGAGTCCGGGAGGATCAAAGGGCTGATGTGGGGGGCAGGGCCGTGGGGCAAGGTCTGGATGGAGGAGATGACTGGGGGGAAGGTGGTGGTTGGAGGGCGGGATGGGGAGTTGGGGGGCAGGCAGCAGTGGAGGGCAGGCACTGAAGGGGTGGGGCTGGCCTGGCCCAGGGGGCTAAGCAATGGCAGGCAGTGGGGTGGGAGGCAGAGTGCAGATGTGGGAGGCTGGTCCAGGAGGGTGATAGTGTTTTGGGGAATGTTAGGGGGCTGATCCAGTGAGGGGAGGGGGGGCAGATCCAGGGGGGCAGTGTCAGGGATTCAAAGTTCTCAGCTCTGTACGGCCCTGGGAGGAACCCCCCTTCGGTGTGACAGCCCCCCATGAAGGTTGCACTCTCTCTCGGGGATAGGCCCTCTGCCCCCGCTGCCTCCTGGAACTGCATCTCTGAGCTTTAAGCACACCTGTCTCTGCCCTGGGCCCCTCGGGGAGTCCACTCGCTCGGGACCCCCCGGGGCCCCACCCCCAGAGGGAGCGATGCCCCCTGATCTCTAGCCTGCAGTGACTCAGCCAGTGTAACACAGGAGGTTTATTGAGCGTCCAAACCCAGCACAGGAAACTCTCCGGCCCCTCAGGCCTGGCCTCCCTCAGCACTGTACATCTAGGTCTCTGCTCCATCCAGGTGGGCTCTGACTGCTCTCCCTCTCCAGTACAGCTGCCCCCTCCTTCCAGCTGAGCCCCCAAGATCATCTCCCCCCTTGGCCCCTCCTCGACCTTTGTCTTCGGTCCCAGGTGTCACAGAGTGTGAGGGAGTCCGGGGCCTGCACCCCTCTTCCTGGGATTCACCGTAACTCTCAGCCAGCCAGTAAAACAGAAGGTTTATTGGACAATAGCAACACAGTCTAAAACAGCTTGTGGGTACACCCAGGACCCCTCAGTCAAGTCCTTCTGGGGGGCAGGGAGCTCAGACCCCAGCCCTGGGGTTCCCTGCATTCGACCACCCAGCCCCAGACTGAAACTCCGTCCAGCCCCTCCTCCTCTGCGCTTTGTCCATTTCCCGGGCCAGGAGGGCACCAGATTCCTTTGTTCTCCCACCCTTTAGCTCTCACCTTGCAGGGGGGAAGGGCCCAGGCCATCAGCTGCCAGGAAAGAGGGTGTCTGTGTCCAGACCCCTGCACACACCTGCCCTCTAGGGCTCTGCAACGATCATACGCCCTTATCCCACCCCCTAGATACTTAAGAACTGCCTAGGGGAAACTGAGGTACCCCCACAATATTCAGAGGAAACATTAAGAACAGCCCCACTTCATCACACCAGGTAAACAGGTTGCTGGGTCCCTCTCTCTTCTGTCCTTTGTTCCCTTCTGGCTGGAACCGGTTGGTCAGGTCACTGGGGTCCTCTCTTCGCAGCCCATTGTCCTCCCATGGCCAGAACCAGCTGCCTTCCAAGGTGGGCTGAGCATCTTGGTCACCAGTCTGCTAGGGTCCCACATTTCCAGGCCTCCCCCATCTCCAGGCTATTGTCCGGGGTCCTGGCAGGAAGGTAAGGTCACACTTGGTCCCCTGCAACAACAAACCCCATCCCACCGCCAGGTGCCATAGGACCCAGCACACTGTCGCACCAGCCCCACTGCTTCCCTTGGGCCCTGGCTAGATTCTCCCCGGCCAAATCCATGAGCTTTGTGAGCCTTCTGCAGAATTTTCCTTTCGTCTTCCCCTCCCAGTTGTCCCTCATCAAGCTCTGGGAACCCCTCACTATCTTTCCAGACACCAACTTGAAAGGGTGGACCCCTGTGCATTTCTTGGGTTGTAAAAGTTGTGCAGCAGCCTTCGCCCAGTGTGCTGGCCCCCCTGATCTCTAGAGAGAGGTACCTCACAGCCAGGTACAACCACCGGAGATACTGCTGGTGGACCACCAGCTGCCTCCTGATCCCCCAAAGTTTTGTTTTCCCTCTGGAAGCCCTTTCCCGGTACCGGGTCCCTTCTCTCACATGAATCTTTCTCTGCGATCCTCCCCCAGGATCTTGCAACACCGTTGCTCTCAGCTTCTTCTGGGCAGGACCCTTCTGCTGCTAGGTCTGGAATTCAGCTGGTGGGGTTGGGGCCCAGCCCCCGTTACTGTGTCTGTTTCCCCACCAGGGGACAAAGCCTTGGTCTCAGCCCTGTTAAGCCCTGTCCCTGGTAACTCACACCCCTGTTGGAGGTGTTACCTCCCCTGATAGGTAGTTTGCTGGTGTCAGACCAGGTCTCCGACCCATCCCCCCATCAGCACCGCCTCTGGAAGTGGATTGGGCACCCCAACCTCTTTGGGGCCCCCCATTTTAGATGTACCCTTGTTACAGGCACCTTAACCTGGAGGGTCCAACGACCCCCCTCAGGGTTAGGTTTGCACTGGGCACTACCTCATCCGGGCCCACCACATCGGCTGTGCCTGCATCACCTCAGCGCCTGGACCCCACTGCCCCCAGACCTCCCTCCCATCTACTTTGATGGGGACGAGGTGGCGACTGCCCACTGGGCTCTGCCCTGTGCTTCACTGCGGACTGAGCCCTCTCCTGGCCCCTGTCTGGAGGAGCGAGATCCGGGCTCTCTCGCTTTACTCTTCTGGGGTTACAGACACCTGGTCCAGATCCTGTCTCAGAGACACAGTCACTTCCCAAGAGTACATCAAAGCTGATGTGCTGAAGGACCCCAGCTACCAGTCCCCCCGACCCCCTCCAAGCCTTCCTGTGTCTGCACGGGATCTGAGCTATCGGCAGGTGAATGGCTTCAGCTGGGGAGCCTTCCCCCCAAATTACACAGCCCCTTGGCTGCCAGTGGAGTCTCTTGGTCCCAGAATCTCTCCATCCCATGAATGCTCCCCATTGACCCCCACCTTCCGCTCCCACTGGGGAGCCAAGATGTCTTCTTGTGCACCCCTGGGCTCAGGTATCTGCTGGGCTCGGAGTAGAAGCCCGTCTGCCTCCTCCCCTCCCCTGCCCCAGAAGCTGGCTGGTTGGGATAGACACAGCTGACTCTCTGAGCCTGCATTACAGGCTGTCCTCCCTTCACCACGTTAGCCCTTCGCGGGTCTCTTGGGCCAAGACTTTCTTTATCTTTGGGTATTGCACCACCTGGTGTCTTTTTGCAGCACAATAATTACAGCTCAGGTCTCTTGGGACCCATGGAGGGAGTCTGCCTTCTTCAGCATTAGTGGGCAGCCCTGCATTGGGGTGGACAAGCTTGGGGTGGAGTCCCACCTCTGAGAGGTCTCTGTGTGACTCCCCTTCCGAGTCACCAATGTGGGTTCCTTCCCCCCTCTGCTGCCCATACACTTATCTGCTAGAGTACCTGCACTTCTCAGGTCTTTGGGCTTTGAGGACAGACGTCCTACAGCTGCTCCAATCCCACCCGATTATACCCATCTTCTGCAGGGGTGGCCCTGCACCCTTTTCCCCCTTGCAGAGATATTCCCCCAGCAAGGTGGTGACCTCCTTGTATGAGACACCTGGAGTTTCTCGTACACCCTTGAATCTTTTCCTATCTGCCTCAGTGGTCCACTCAAACTTAAGCAGCAAAGCCTGTTTGAACCGTTCATAGTCCCCAGTCCCTACACCAGCCATTTGACTGAACGCTTCTATCGCCTTGAGGCCAAGCAAGGGGGTGTAACGGGGTCAGCACGCACCTCTTGCGAGCGCCCCCTCTGGTTGGGCATGCCTGCGTTCTTTAGTTCTGGTGACCCCTTTCGGTGGTTCTCAGATGATTTTTTCAGCGACTCAGCTCTCCGGCCGAGTCACACACTGTCTGCATGTGAATCAGAACAGACCCCTGCCGGTGTATAGGTCCCAGTGGACTGTATCTAGTGCCACTCTGGTGGTGACTCTGTAGCCCTCCCTGGGCTTTGGATTTTAAGTAGTCCAGCGCTGGTATGGGGCCACATCCCCAGGGCTTCTTCCCTGGAGATACTATCTTCCTGCAGCCCTCCCCAGGCTCAGTTCTTACTCAGTTCCCGCAGCCAGCCAGGAGCTTCTTCATTGCTCCCCTGGTCCCTGCTAGCAAACTGTTTTCAGCTCAGTCCTAGCCTCCAGCCAGGAGCCTCTCACTCCCCCCAGGTCCCTGCCAGCAGACTGTCTTTGGTCCTGCTGCTCGTCCAGCCAGGCACACAGTCCTTCTTCTCCAGCGCCACCCAGCAACTAATGACTGCACTGTTCTGCAGCTCCTTTTATAGGGCCCTCCTGGCCCTGGATTGGCCGTTCCAGCAGCCCCTCTGATTAATTGCGTCCTCACCGCGCTAAGCCTCTTGGAGGACCTCTCCACTGCGCCTTTCGTGGGATGGGTGAGGCAGAATCCTGAGGCCTCCAGCAGGGAGCTGTTGGGCCTTGTCCACCCCATCGCAGGGGGTTAGACAGCCGTGCCCACCCGCCTGGTCAGCCGGATTCAAATCACAAACGTCCTCACCGGCAGTGAGGGAGGAACCGATATCTCCCGCCCCCCCATTACACCGGGTCACACTTTGGAATCTAAGCTTCCTTACCCCCTGGCAGGTCCTCTTGGCCCGCCTCTCCTCCAACTCATGTTTTCACTGCTCCGAGCTGTCAGCTATAACCTCTGCTCCTCCAGCTCCAGCTCCTGCCCTCTCAGCTCCAGTTTCCATCTCTTCACATCCACTGGGGGGAACCCAGGTTGGGAAGCCCCCCTCCTGGCTGGGGAACTGGGTCTGGCCCCCTGCTGCTACTCCGACTGCCCCCTGCTACTCCCAGGCTCTCCGGGCATCCCGAAAGCCCGCTGGAACTGGAACTTGCTCCTCGAACCGCTCACTCTCTCCCAGCCAGGCAATCAGCTGCTTCTGGGTGAGCCTCCCCACGCTCAGCCCTCTCTCCCTCTCTCCCAGCCATGCCAGGTCCCTCGTACAGAGCTGGTTCTAGACCCTTTCCTCGCTGGTTCCTTCAACTCCCTAGTTTTATCGCTGGCAGCCACTCACTGCAAAGCACCTGCGCTCGCAGCCAATTGTCTGTAGGGTGCATCCGCCAACCATCCTCTGCTACCACGTTGTCACGGACTCACAGGTCGTGCCTACTCTTGGCCCCGTGCAGTCCCTGGGGAGAACCCCCTTCAGTGAGACAGCCCTCTTTGGGGGTCCACTCTCTCTCGGGGGTTAAGCCCCTCCGCCTCCTGGAACCACACCTCTCTGAGCCTTAGCATGCCTGTCTCTGCCGTGGGCCCCTCAGGGAGTCCCCTCGCTCTGGACCCCCAGGACCCACATGCCGAGAGGGAGCGATGCCCCCTGATCTGCAGCCTCCAGTGACTCTCAGCCAGCGTAACACAGGAGGGTTTATTGAGCATCTGAACCCAGCACAGGCAGGTCTCAGGGCCCTCGGGCCTGGCCAGTCTCAGCACCTTATGTCTAGGTCTGTCCTGCATCTAGGTGGGCTCTGGTTGTTCTCTCTCTCCTGAGTCCAGCAGCCCCCTCCTTCCAGCCGAGCGTCCTATATCCACTCCCCTCTCGGCCCCTCCTCTGTCCTTTGTGTTCGGTCTCAGGTAAACAGGTCACTGGGGCCCTCTCTTCTCCGTCCTCTGTTCCCCTCTGGCTGGAACTGGTTGTTCAGGTCACCAGGGTCCTCTCTCCTCAGCCCATTGTCCTCCCACTGGCCAGAACTGGCTGACTGCCAAGCTGGGGTGGGCCTCCTAGTCACCAGGTCATTGGTTGCTAGGGTCCCCCATCTCTAGGCTGCTGTCTGGGGTCCCAACTGCTAGGCAAGATCACACCTGGTCCTCTGTAACAACAAACCCTCTCCCACCACCTCGTTAAACATGCAGCACACAGGGAAACTGAGGCACACACTGTTCATGCAAAACACTAAGAAACCCCCCCACTTCATCACAAGCAGGCAGTGGGGGTCCTGGGAGCTGATCCAGGGGGGAAGGTGGTGAGGGGAGAGGGGCTGATCCGGGGTTGAGGCGGTGTGGGGAGGGTGACTGACCCGTGGGAAAGGCAGCAGGGGGCTGACTTTGGAGACAACGGGAGGCCTGGGGGCTCACCCAGGGGGGCAGGTGGTGCGGGGAGGAGGCCTGATCTGGTGGACAGGTGTTTGGAGGTTATAAGGGGGAAGGCAGTGGGGGGCTGATTTGGGGGCAGGCAGTGGGGGTAGGAGGGCTGATTTGGGGGGCAGGTGGCAGGAGACCTGGGAGCTGATCCAGAGAGCAGAGACTGGGGTGGACAGGGGGCTGGGCTGTGGTCTGAGCCTGCTCTCATCCCTGCCAGGGGAGCTCTACATCTCTGGGACCCAGGGGGGGCAGGTCGTGCTCCCCTGCGCTGCGGGAAATGCCCGCGAGACCCCCGCTGTGGACTGGTTCAGGGATACAGACAACAGGACCCACCAGTTTGACCGCGCTGGCCCACGGCACTGGCCCAACGGCAACACCCTGCGCATCAAGGGGCTGGAATCAGGGGACGCTGGGCGGTACTGGTGCCGGGCCAGGAACCAGAGCTGGACCGTGCACCTGCACCTGGGAGGTGAGGGACCCTGCTGTGCCCCCTGCTAGAGTTACCAACTTTCTGATTGCAGAAAACTGAACACCCTTGTCCCGCCCCCTGCCCCTTCTCTGAGACTCACTCCTTCCCCCCTCCCTCGGTCGCTCGCTCTCCCCCATCCTCGCTCACTAGCTCATTTTCACTGGGCTGGGGCAGGGGGTTGGGGTGCGGGAGGGGGTGAGAGCTCCAGCTGGGGCTGGGGATGAGGGGTTTGGGCTGCAGGAGGGGGGCTTCGGTCTGGGGCTGAGGGGTTCAGAGTGCGGGAGGGGGTGTGGGGTGTGGGCTCTGGGAGGGAGTTTGGGTGCGGGAGGGGGCTCAGGGCTGGGGCAGGGGGTTAGAGCACGGGACGGGGGTCAGGGTGCAGGCTCGGGGTGGTGCTGACCTCAGCATGTTCCTCTGGCTCCTAGGCGTAGGGGACAGGGGGCCTGCGTGCTGCCCGCGCCCACAGGCACCGTCCCCACAGCTCCCATTGGCCGCAGTTCCTGGCCAATGGGAGCTGCAGAGCCGGCGCTCGGGGTGGAGGCAGTGCGCGGAGCCCCCTTGGCTATCCCTTCACCTAGGAGCCGAGGGACATGTTACCGCTTCCCGGGAGCTGCATGAAGCCGGGCACGGGGCCTGCCAGCCCCACGCCAACCGGACTGTTAATGGCCAGATCAGTGGTGCTGACCGGAGCTGCCGGGGTCCCTTTTTGTCCAGTCGAAAACTGGATGCCTGGCAACCCTAGTTCCTGCTGATACCCCGGCACCCCGATTGCCTCCTGCCCTCTGCTCCTGCCTCCCTGCCCTACAACTCCCCAGATCTTTCCCGTCCCACCCCTGACTGTCCCTGTCCCCCGCAGGGGAGCTGACATTCTCGGTGCTGGCTGGGGACACGGCCTGGCTCCCCTGCAATGGCTCCATGCCAGACGCCTGGGTCCAAGGCTCCTTGGCCTGGAAGCGGCTGGGCCCGGGGGTCTCGTGGAAGCAGCTGGTGGAGCTGGCGGCTCGGCGCTACGGAGCCTACATGTTTCAGCTCTCCCTGGGCACTGGCCCAGCCCTGGTGCTGCCGGCCGTGACGCTCGACCAGGCCGGGACCTACCGCTGTGTCCGGGGCAACCACAGCCACGCTGTGGAGCTGGAGGTCACGGCCCACACAGGTAGGGGGCAGAGTGATGTGGGGGTCATGGGCCACACAGGTAGGGGGCAGAGTGACCATGGGGAGTAGGGTGGGTTATGGGGCAGGAGGGTGATGATGGCTCTGCCCAAGGGGTGGGGGAACTAGTGGGCGTAGGTACAGGGGGGCAGTAGCGGGGGGTGTTACGGAGTCCCCGGGCGATGCTCTGGAACTGCTCCCCATGAAGCCAGGCAGGACTCTGGGGCAGTCGCCTTTCTGTGAGCAGCCTGTCTTCTGGACACACAGCTCACCCAGCTTCCACCTTCCTGGGTCTGACCTCGGAGCATTCAGCCTCCTCTGCCCCTCCATGCGCTTCCCACAGCGAGTCCGCCCAGGCGGGGTCCTGGGGAAGCCAGAGGGTCCTGCCCCCCAACTTCGCAGTCAGACGGGACTCTCAGCCAGCCAGTAAAACAGAGGTTTATTAGACGACAGGAACATGGTCTAAAACAGAGCTTGTAGGTGCAGAGAACAGGACCCCTCAGCCGGGTCCATTTTGGGGGGCAGTGAGCCAGACAACCATGTCTGCCCTTCACTCCATGTCCCAGCCAGCCCCAAACTGAAACTCCCTCCAGCCCCTCCTCCTCTGGGCTTTGTCCCTTTCCCGGGCCAGGAGGTCACCGGATTCCTTTGTTCTCCAGCCCTTTAGCTCTCACCTTGCAGGGGGGGAAGGCCCAGGCCATCCGTGGCCAGGAAACAGGGTGTCGGCCATTCTCTGTGTCCAGACCCCTGCACACACCTGCCCTCTAGGGCTCTGCAATGATCATACACCCTTACCCCACCCCCTAGAGACTTAAGAACTGCCTAGTGGAAACTGAGGCACCCCCACACTATTCAGAGGAAACATTAAGAACAGTCCCACTTCGTCACAGGGGGACATGGGGGGCACATGCAGGGGGGGTGAGGCCAGGCCCGTCACAATGTCTCTGTCCAGGAGGGTGGCAGCCCTGGATCGTGGGGGCTGCGGGACTTGGATACGTTGCTGTTGGCCTGGCCTCCCTGTTTGGATACTACCAGATCCGCCGAGGTGAGTTGGGATCCGGGACGCCCCCAGTCCCTGCCCCACATCTCAGGCCCCCCTTGTAGCCCTGCCCCCCAGCCCGCCAATCGGCCCCGGGCTTTGCTTTGTGCTGTGGGGTGGGTGGGTGCGACTGGGCTCAGTCCTCAGGGCTCCGGTGAGAGGGGTCCGCACTGTGGGGGGCACGTCTCCCCCAAAACGGCACCTTCAGTCCTGGGGTGATGACCCTGGCCATAGGGAGCAGAGGTCAGGGGGGTGGGGGGAGAGCGGAACAGGTGCTGAGTGGGGTGGGAAGTGCTGGGTGGGGGAAGGGGTGCTGGGTGCTGGAGGGGGGCTGGCTGGGTGCAGGAGGGTGCTGCGTGGGGTGTGGAGGTTTTGGCGAGTGGCTGGTCGGGGGGAGGGGTGCTGAGTGAGGTGGCTGGGTGGGGGAGGGGCACTGGGTGCTGGGAGCATTGGGGGAGGTCTGGGGGCCAGGGGGGCTGGCTCCCCTGTGCCCCCCTTACAGCCCTGTGCTGTCTGGTTCCAGCCCTGCAGACCAGGAGGAGGAAGAAATGCCTGATGGATCCTGCCAGGAGGTGACCTGGGCTGGGGGAGAACCTGCTACCCCAGGGTGGGAAGGAAGGGTCTGTGCCCCGGGCAGGATGAGGGCGTCTCTGGGATCCGGAAGAGGGGTCTGTGTGGGCTGTGGGAAGGGGGCTGCTGGAAGCAGGAGGGTCTCTGGGTGTGGGGGATGCCCTGGGGTGTCTGGCAGACGGGCGCAGGATGTCTCTGACCCACGCGGTGCCTGTGGGGTGTCTCTGGGAGGGGCGGGGGGGGCGGAGTTTCTGCCTGGCGGTGGCGGGGGTGCGTGTGTGGAGTTTGTGATTCTGATTTCCCGGTCATGATTCCTCCATTTCCAGGTTTTTCAAGGTGACTGGGAACGGGGCTCACACGCCTTATGGGAATGTCCTGCCCCTTGCAGACACTGCTGGTGAGTGCCCCCTGCCCCCCAACACCTTCTACCCAGAACCCCCAGCCCCTGCCCCCCAACAGCTACTGCCCCCCAACACCTTCTACCCAGCACCCCCAGCCCCTGCCCCCCACAGGAACGTCCTGCCCCCTGTAGGCACCGCCAGAGTGTCCCCACCCCCCAACTCCCCTACTGCTTCCCTTCTCCCCAGCACCCCCTACCCTACTCCCCCTATGAGAATGTCCTGCTCCCTGCAGATACGCCCAGTGAGTGGCCCCTGCCTCTGCTGGGTCCCCCAACATCCCCACTACTCCTTTTGCCCCCCAACACACACCCTGCCTCCCACAAAAACAGTCAGCCCCTACAAACACAGCTGGTGAATGCCCCCCACACCCCATTTCCTCTCTGCTCCTCCACCCTCTACAGGAACACCCTGCCCCGCAGGTGAGTGCCCCCCCCATATTTTCAAAGCGATCAAGCCCCAAAGCGGCTTTTGGATCAGCCTGACCCCCTGCGTATGACAGCCCATTGTAAACCCCCCCCCCCATATGTACCAGTTGCACTGAAGTGGTTTAGTCCCAAGGCGGCTGAGCTGTTGTGGCCCCAGGCAGGGAATGTGGGAGCCTGGGGTGCCCCCAATGCCTGCAGCACCCCACGGGTCCCCCTCTGTCCCAGCCAGTCTGACCTGGGGAAAGAATCCTTCCTGACTCTGCAAAGGGCCACAAGCTTGGCTCTGCACATGGGAGCCAGCTCCACCGGCCAAGTGTGTCGGGAGGGTTCTCTGACCCACCTCAGAGCCTGCCCGCCCAGTGTCCCCTCCCCAGTGGGGCTGTCCCTGGTGCTTCAGAGGAAGGGGAAAATAAAACTGAGAATCCAGCCAGCCAAAGGGGGGCAAGTTCCTTCCTGACCCTGCAGGTGACAGGCCACAGCCCTGAAGCATGCGATTGGATCATAGGCATTGTCTTAATGCAGAGCCCCCCTCGCTTTGTGTACCCTCCCTCCAGTCACCCAGGGGGCTGCGTCCCCACAGCCGGCCTAGGGAGGGGCGTACTGGTGCCTCTTTCCAGCTCCAGGGCTTGTGGGGCTTGACCCCCAGGGATGGCCAGTTGCCACATCTGGCTGCATTGACCCCCTTGTCCCCGTTCCCACCCAGGCCAGCTGGTGTGACTCCCCCTACCCATGCCGCCCTTCCCTCACTGTGCATCTTCTGGGGCCCTGCTCTGACCCTGCCCCCTGTTCCCAGGTGTGGGGCAGACGGATGCAGTGCCCTATGAGATCGTGGCACTGGGTGCAAGAGGGCAGGGGAGGCCACTGCCTGCAGAGGGGCCCATCAGTGCTGCCGTGTCAGAGGGTGAGTGACACCCCCCCCGAGGTGACCCCAACCCAGCCCCCCTCCATGGCTTTCCAAGCACCGCAGGAGTAGGGTGCAGAAAGGGGGCCGGGGCACAGACTGGGAGGATGGGAGTGATGGGGGGCACATATTGGGGTGGGATGTGTGACGGGATCCCCGGGGTGCAGCCTGGGACCATGGGACCGCTGTGCCCCCTGAACTCTCTCCAGCCTGGGCTGTCTCTCACAATGCCCTGCTAGTGACCAGCAGCAAACCCCTCCAGGCTGTGATCACTCAGCACAACCGCATGTGGAATCCCAACGCCCAGCTGGATTGCGTAAAAGCTCCCAGGGCCGCTCGTGACTCACGCAGAGAAAGTCAAGTCCCCCCAGCTCACAGCACTGTACCTCAGGAATATGCCGTCTTGCACTGCTCAGGATGAGCAATGCAGATTTATTAATTGGTTCACCACTTCAGCAATGGAAAGCGGATCTACACCAGCCTTTGCAAACCTGAGCAATTTGCCACACGCTTCATACAAACTCCCTGGTGAAGATAAACAGTAAAACAAACGTATTGACTATAAAAGACAGATTTTAGGTGATATTATGTGAAAGATAAAAAGCCAGAGTTAGTTACCAAAAGAAATAAAATATCAGCATGCAGTCTAAACTCTCAAACCTATTAGACGGGGCAACATCTAGATTAAGCAGTTTTTCTCACCCCACTGGATATTGCGGTTCCTAGTATACAGATTTCACCCTTGAAATCTGGGCCAGTCCCCTCAGTTGGAGTCTTCATAGTGTCCTTGTTGGTTGCAGCGTAGGTGGGGGAAGGAGGAAGGCCCAGCATGGGGCCCCTGTGTCTGTTTTATACCCTCAGTCCATGTGCTTGGGAAACACAAGTCCAGGCATGTCTGGGGGCATTGCTGAGTCTCCAGGCCAGGTTGAGCAATCCCCCTGGTGTGGCCTCATGTAGGCGAGTCACTGCATCCCAGCTCCCTGGCTGGACAATGGCTGTTGGTGGTTGTTTGACACCCCACCAGGGCGCTGGTTACCTTCCTTGTTGTTACCTCAGGGGGAGCTAATATCTGGCTGATTCCCCAACTTACAGCATATTTCAGTGACAACCGTACCACACAATCTCATAACTGCATTAATGACACACATCTATGGATAGAGAAATGACTTTCAGCAGATCATAACCTTTCCCCTGATCTGGGAACAGGGGGCAGGGTCAGAGCAGGGCCCCAGAAGATGCACAGTGAGGGAAGGGCGGCATGAGTAGGGGGAGTCACACCAGCTGGCCTGGGTGGGAACGGGGACAAGGGGGTCAATGCAGCCAGATGTGGCAACTGATACCTTACCAGGCCTGCCTTCTATGTAGGATCACAATTATATAAAAATGAGGAGTATGGGGGTTACAGGATGCTCCCCCAAGGTATAGAATGTCACAGGGTGTGAGAGGGATACAGCCAGATGAGGGATGGGGTGAGGGGTACAGAGGGGGCAGGGGCACACAGTGGGAGAAAGGGGGCGGTGATGGGAGCCCAGCCACAAGCAGGAAGATGGGGGAGGGGTATCCTTGCCTCCCCAGGGGGCCCTATGGAGCAAGAGATGGCAGCTCAGCACAGGGAGGGGCCAGAGTAAAGGGGACTGGGGGCCGCAAGACCCACATTGACACCCCCTCTCCCCCCAGACGAGGAGGAGTACGAGCACCCGGACAGTGAGGAAGAACCAGCAGCCGAGGGTGAGTGGGGGGCAGAGAAGGCGGGGAGCTGGAGTTAGAGAGGGGGTTGGGGCATGACAGGACAGTGATGGGGTGGGGAGGGGCTCTGGGAGGGGACAGGATGGGGGGCATGGGGAGGGGGTGATGGAAGGGGCTGGGCTGCCAGGCAACTGGTTTGGGGTCACCTGCTCTGCTTTTCTCTCCCGGCTCCAGATGGTGATGGCTATGAAAACACCAACGGGGACATGAAACTGTGCATGGGGGACAAGGGGTCCAGCGGTAACAGCCCCCGCAAAACCACCCCCGGCCCCCTCACCCTACACCACCCACTGCCCTGGGGTGAGACGGGACTGACTCCCCGGAGCCAGCCAGTCCCTGCCCGGGGGCCAGATGGGAGCCGGCGCCCCTAAAGGGGAATGACCCGTGTCCCATGCCCTGCGATGGGGCCAGATGGGAGCCGGCGCCCCTAAAGGGGAATGACCCTGTGTCCCATGCCCTGCGATGGGGCTGGATGGGAGCCAGCGCCCCTAAAGGGGAATGACCCGTGTCCCATGCCCTGCCATGGGGCTGGATGGGAGCTGGCGCCCCCTAGAGGGGAATGACCCTGTGTCCCATGCCCCGCGCCCCTGCAATGGGGCTGGATGGGAGCCAGCGCCCCCTAGAGAGGAAAGGCCCCATATCCCATGCCCCGCCCCCCCGCCCTGGGGCTGGATGGGAGCCAGTGCCCCCTAGAAGAGAAAGGCCCTGGGTCCCATTCCCCGCTTCCTCAGCCTTTCTGGCCCTAGTCTACACTGGGGGCTGCGGTCTCCAAAGGGGGCGAAGCCCAGGGCCTGTTTAGGGACATCCGCTCCCCTGACGCCCTCCCGTCCTTCCCCCAGACGGTGCCTGCTACGAGAACAGTCTGGAGCAGAACAGAGCAGGAGGCAACTGGGCTTCAGGTAACGGGGGCACTTGGATGGGGGGTAGGGCTGAGAGCAGGGTCCTGGCTGGGGAATGGGGGGTGGGCAGATCTGAGAGTGGGGTCCTGGGTGGGGAATGAGGGGGCAGGGCTGAGAGCGGGGTCCTGGCTGGGGAATGGGGGGGGCAGAGCTGAGAGCGGAGTGCTGGGTGGGGAATGGGGGGGCAGGGCTGAGAGCGGGGTCATGGGTGGGGAAAGGGGTGGGGGCAGGGAGGTGGGGCTGTGGTGTGGCAGGGAGCAGGGCTGAGTGTGGAGTTTCTGGGGGTCTCCCCTGGGCTGACAGAGCACCCTGCCCTGCACCCCCAGCCCCACAGCTTCCCCCCCCGTATCTCTCATTTATTGCCCCCCCCTCCCTGTCCCCAGATGCTTCCCACTACACGAATGCTCGCCAGGGCCCCGGGGCCGAAGACCAGGTCTCTGAAGGTAACAGTGTGGGGTGCTGGCGGGGGGCTACCAGGAGGACACAGCCCACTCCCAGGCATGCCCCAGGGCAGGAGGGGCCCCTCACCCTGGGGATTGGGAGTGGGCGGGGATCTGCACACCTAGGGCAATGGTTTCCCAGGGTCCAGAGTATCACCCTGGTAACAACACCCCTGGCAACCTGTTCATCACCCTGGTAACGGCTCCCCTGGTGACACTGGCCGATGGCCTTAGGTAACAGGATCCCTGGTAACTCCAGGCCATCCAGAGGCTTGCCCCCGGTAGGGTGTCCCAGCCCCAGAAGCCCATCAGAGGGCAGCAGGCAGGGGCTGCTGCTGACAGGGACCTGCCCCCTGTGTTGGCAGGCAGCGAGTGTTATGAGAACACGGAGGAGGACAGCGCCCCGCTGAGCCCTGGAGCTGCACGGCTCGTAACAGGTGATGGGCTCAGGGAGTGTGGGGTCCTGGGGTGGGGGGCTCAGGGTCAGTCCTCCCCTGCCAGGGTCTGTGTGTGTGTGGGGTCCTGGGGTGCCTATAGGGGGCACTGTGAGTATGTGAATACCATGGAGCCTGCAGGGGGTGCTGTGTGGGGGGGGGCAGATCCTGGGGTGCCTATAGGGGGTGCTGTGTGGGGGTGTGTGAATCCCGGGGTGCCTGTAGGGGGCACTGTCTGTGTTTGGCGGGGGATCCTGGGGTGCCCGTAGGGGGCGCTGTGTGTATGTGGGGGGGTGAATTCCGGGGGTGCCTTAGGGGGCGCTGTGTGTGTGTGGGGGGGGTGAATTCCGGGGGTGCCTATTGTCACGGAGTCCCTGGGCGATGCTCTGGAACTGCTCCCCATGAAGCCAGGCAGGACTCTGGGGCAGTCGCCTTTCTGTGAGCAGCCTGTCTTCAGGACACGCAGCTCACACAGCTTCCACCTTCCTGGGTCTGACCTCGGAGCATTCAGCATCCTCTGCCTCTCCGTGCGCTTCCCCCAGCGAGTCCGCTCAGGCGGGGCTCCTGGGGAAGCCAGAGGGTCCTGCCCCCCAACTTCGCAGTCAGACGTGACTCTCAGCCAGCCAGTAAAACAGAAGGTTTATTAGACGACAGGAACATGGTCTAAAACAGAGCTTGTAGGTGCAGAGAACGAGACCCCTCAGCTGGGTCCATTTTGGGGGGCAGTGAGCCAGACAACCACGTCTGCACTTCACTCCATGTCCCAGCCAGCCCCAAACTGAAAACCCCCTCCAGCCCCTCCTCCTCTGGGCTTTGTTCCTTTCCCGGGTCAGGTGGTCACCTGATTCCTTTGTTCTCCAACCCTTTAGCTCTCACCTGGCGGGGGGGGAAGGGCCCAGGCCATCAGTTGCCAGGAAACAGGGTGTCGGCCATTCTCTGTGTCCAGACTCCTGCACACACCTGCCCTCTAGGGCTCTGCAATGATCATACACCCTTACCCCACCCCCTAGATACTTAAGAACTGCCTAGGGGAAACTGAGGCACCCCCACACTATTCAGAGGAAACATTAAGAACAGTCCCACCTCGTCACACCTATATGGGGTGCTGTGTGTGTGTCTTTGTGTGTGAATCCCAGAGTGCCTATAGGGGGCACTGTGTGGGGGGGTATATTCTGGGGTGCCTGTAGGGGGCACTGTGTTTGTGTGTGGGGACCCCGGGGTGCCTGTAAGGGGCGCTGGGTGTGTGTGTGGACCCCAGGGTGCCTGTACGGGGCGCTGTGTATGTGTGGGGACCCCAGAGTACCTCTAGGGAGTGCTGTGAGGGGGGAATCCGGGGTGCCTGTAGGGGACACTGTGGGGGGGGGAGAATCCAGAGTGCCTGTAGGGGGCTCTGTGTGGGGGAGGGAACCCAAGGTGCCTGTAGGGGGTGCTGTGGGGGGGGAACCTGGGATGCCTGTAGGGGGCACTGTGTGTGTGGGGGGAACCCAGGGTGCCTGTAGGGGGTGCTGTGGGGGGGATCCTGGGGTGCCTGTAGGGGGCGCTGGGGGTGTGTGTGGACCCCAGGGTGCCTGTAGGGGGTGCTGTGGGGGGGATCCTGGGGTGCCTGTAGGGGGCGCTGGGGGTGTGTGTGGACCCCAGGGTGCCTGTAGGGGGTGCTGTGGGGGGGATCCTGGGGTGCCTGTAGGGGGCGCTGGGGGTGTGTGTGGACCCCAGGGTGCCTGTAGGGGGCGCTGGGTGGCCTCACCCAGTGGCTGGTCTCTCCCCCCAGACCTGCGGATGTTGTTGCTGCTGGGTGCGTGTGAGGAGCCGGAGCGGGATCGGCAGGATGGACACAGCGAGGACTCTGCTGGTGAGAGGGGCTGGGAGCTCCCCTGGGAGGGCGAGAGGGCCCCCCGACCTTTCCCTGATGCCCCCTTGTTCCCCACAGGCTCCCAGGCCTATGAGGAGATGGCCGGGGCTCTGTATGCAGCCCCTGCCTGGCATCTCCGCCTACGGGACCGCAGCCAGGAGGAAGGTGAGCTCCAGGAATGGGGCTGGGACCCCAATATCCCACTCTGGGTCCCCCCATATCCCAGCACCCTGAGCCCCCTCCATGGGATCACCTCCATATCTCAGCACCCCAAGCCCCCTTTCCTGGGGTCACCCCATATCCCAGCCCCCTGAGTCCCCCTCCCTGGAGTCACCCCATATCTTAGCACCCCAAGCCCCCTCCCTGGGGTCACCCCCATATCCTAGTGCCCTGAGCCCCCCTCCCAGGGGTCACCACTATAGTCAGCACCCTGAGCCCCCTCCCTGGGGTCACCCCCATATCCCAGCCCCCTGAGTCCCTCTCCCTGGAGTCACCCCATATCCTAGTGCCCTGACCCCCATCCCAGGGGTCATCCTCCTGAGCCTCCCTCCCTGGGTCACTCCCATACCCCCATCCTGACACCCCTGGGGTCATCCCATCTCCCAGCCCCCCTCCCTGGGGTGACCCCAATATCCCAGCATGCAGGGACCATCCTTGGCCTTGGGGCCCCCACACCAGGCCCTCTCCCTGAAACACCCAAGATGTTTCTGCCCCCACCATGCCAGCTGCCCCTCCCCAGGCCCAGAGGTGCAAGGGGAGGCTCCCCAGGAGAAGGGCTGGGAGGGGCTCAGCCCTCTACCTCCTCCACCGGAGATGAGGTGTGTATGGGGGGTGGAGTGGGGGCAACAGCCCCCCCAGGCCCTGGCTCTGACCCCGGCTCCCGTCCGCAGACGCCGATTCCTATGAGAACATGGAGGGGGGGCCGGGCTGTGTCCTGCCCCCCCGGGAGGGGAGCGTGGAGCTGCGTGGAGACGGTGAGTGATGGGTGGGTGGTGGTGAGACTGGGCACGGGGGGTCCCCGGGGTGGGACCTGGGGGTAGAGGTCAGTGGCGGGGGCGCCCCTGGGCTCTCACCTGTTTTGCTGTCATTGCAGCTGCTGGGCTGAGGGCCCCAGGGCCCGTCGGAGCTGAACCCGCCAGGCGAGCGGTGCCCCGGAGCCTCACTCGGGACTAGGACACGCCGCCCCCGGGCCAAGACAGGCAGCGAGAGTATCTGAGCCCGTGAGGACAGGGCTCTCAGGGAGGGCCCCGCGCCCCCATGGCTCCGATCCCCATCCCGGCTCCACGTCCTGGGCCCCACTGCTGGGGACGGCCCCAAAGCTGCGGAGGGCCCGTGGGCTCCAGACGCTGTTCCCATGGCTCTGCAATGGCCAGCTGCTAACACCGTGCCCCCAGGTGCCTCTGGCCTGCCCCACCCTGGGCTCGGCTGCCCCACAAGGACAGCTCCATCCAGCTGGGCTGGATCGCAGCCCTCGGCGTCTGACATGTGCATGTCCAGGCTGGGGACAGGGCCCCCCCAGTGCCTGTACCCCCCCCGATGACATGCTGGGGAAAGGGCCCCCCCAGTGCCGGTACCCCCCCAATGACATGCTGGGGACAGGGCCCCTCAGTGTCTGTACCCCCCCGATGACATGCTGGGGAAAGGGCCCCCAGTGTCTGTACCCCCCCGATGACATGCTGGGGACAGGGCCCCTCAGTGTCTGTACCCCCCCGATGACATGCTGGGGACAGGGCCCCTCAGTGTCTGTACCCCCCCCGATGACGTGCTGGGGAAAGGGCCCCCCAGTGCCGGTACCCCCCCAATGACATGCTGGGGACAGGGCCCCTCAGTGTCTGTACCCCCCCGATGACATGCTGGGGAAAGGGCCCCCCCAGTGTCTGTACCCCCCCCCCGATGACATGCTGGGGACAGGGACCCTCAGTGTCTGTACCCCACCCGATGACATGCTGGGGACAGGGCCCCTCAGTGCCTGTACCCCCCCCCGATGACATGCTGGGGACAGGGCCCCCCCAGTGCCTGTACCCCCCCCCGATGACGTGCTGGGGACAGGGCCCCTCAGTGCCTGGGCCCCCCCCCCATGACATGCTGGGGACAGGGTCGGCACCAGTACACACCCTCCCTAGCAGCAATCTCTCCTCCACACATCTCCACTGCCCCTTGGCCTGAAGTGTCCGAAGAGCAGGGGCCACAGCAGGCAACCCCCACCCACCCCAGTGTGCCTCCATCCAAAATAAATAATATTGTCCTTGGCCTGCGTTTGTGTCACTGGGGTCACAGTCAGAAGTGGAAAGGACATGGGGTTGGGGGTGGGGCTGGGAGCCAGGACTCCTGAGTTCCATCCCTGGCTCGGGGAGGGGGGGGTCTAGTGGTTAGTGGGCGGCTGGGAGCCAGGACTCCTGGGGCCTGAGAACAATGGAAAATCTTGTCCCTCCCGCCCCACTGAGAATAATGGAAGCTGAGTTCTTTGACCACTGGCCTTGTATGGCCCCCCCTCAAAGAGAGGGGGTCTCTGTGGGACACTGGCTCCAGGTGGGTGTGGGGGGGACCCTGCTGTGTGTGCCACCCCGGGCCCAGGGGTGGCTCTGTGTCTCCGCTCTCCCCGTGGCCTCTGGGCCAGGCTGTGAGCGTGCTGGGCAGCCCCGATCCCGGACTGGTTTCGCTTCCAGCTCTCACTCGCTGACAGTGAGAAACCCACTCCTCGGGGGCGGGTGGGAAATGACGCGTTCTGCGCTCTGCCTGAGGGGCCCGTCCCGCACCAGACGCCGCGGAACGAGGCTCTCGGTCAGGTTGGCTCAGAGCCGCAACTCCCGGGGGCTCGGCCCGGGGGAGGCAACAGGATTTGGCGTCGTCCTGGTGAGCTGACTGGAGCCCCCACGTGCGAAAGCCTGGGGCGCTGTCAGGGGCTGATGGAGAATCTGTGCCGGCTCTAGGTGAGCGACTCTGTTGGCTCATTCCCCTCCTGGCCAAACACTCTGCCCTGCTCTGCTGGCCGCCGAGGGCTCTGCTCTCAGGAATCCCCTCCCCGGGCCGGTGCCCCCCACCGCTTCGTGCGGCTCCAACTCCACCAGGCTCTGTCAGGCCGCCCTTTGCTGCCCCCAGGTCACGGCTGTCGCCCTTTGCCAACCCCTTCCCGGCGTGTCCCCATCTGTGAGCTGCAGAGCCCAGCCCGGGACGCAGCGCCCAGAGATGGTCGCACCAGGCTCTCCCCAGCTGGGGACTTGGCTCTGTAGGGCAGCTGCAGGACATCTCTGTTCCCTGGTGCCCTTGGCACAGTGGGCAGGCCCTGCACCCAGGGTGGGCACCACAGGCTGGTCTCTCTGAGGCCTGTCCAAGGCTACAGCTCTCGCTGCTGGAACCAACCAGGTGTGAGCACAAAATCTGCCGGGGCCTCTCCCTGCCCTGCGAGAGCCTGGAGCCCTCGGAGACCCGGTGGCGGCCGCCCCAGGGATTCGCCGTCCCAGGGTTTGTTACCAGCCCAGGATGTGTCGCAAGCTGCCCATCTGGCTGGTCCTCCAACGTTGCCTCCTGCTGCAAGGGTCAGGTACCATGAGGGGGCTGATTTCAGGGGATCCTGAGGGGGAGGTGGGTGGTGTGGGGAGAGCAGGCCAGGGATGGGGAGTGGGGGAGGTTCCTGGGGAGGGGGGCAGCCTGGGGAACATGCCACGTGAGAAGGGGAGGGGTGCTCCTGGCAGCAGGGGGAGGGATGGGAGGTTGGGGAGAGACCCTGGCAGCAGAGTTGGGGGAACTGGGGAAGGGCAGGGTCAGGGAAGGTCTCCAGCAGCAGGGAGCCTGGGAAGGGGGGAGGGTTCCCAGCAGTGGGGGTCCAGAAATTGCGGGAGGGTCGCAGCCTCTCCTGCTCCGCTCTATGTCTCTCTCCTCCCGGCCAAGAGGTCTGGGTGTACCAGCCACCAGAGCAGAGGGCCTCACCGGGGGGCTCCATGCTCCTGAACTGCACCTTCTCCGCCACCCCAAAGGCCTCCAAGCTGGCGGTGACCTGGGTGCGGAGAGCACCCGGCGGCAGTGGGGAGGTGCAGATCTACCCCCCGTCCAGCCAGGTGACTGAGCTGCACGGCCGCATTGCCCTGGACTCGGGTCGCTTTCGGCACCAGCGGGACGCGTCCCTGCGCCTGGCCAACCTCACCCGGCACGACGCCGGGCTCTACCGCTGCTTCATCTGGACCTCGGCCACCAGCAGCCACGCCGGCAACGGGACCGAACTCAGCATCCTGGGGGAGGGGCCAGGTACCCCCCCATCCATGTGACCCCTGGGGGACAGGGGAGCCAGGACATGGAGGGAAGGGGGAAGGGCAGGGAGAGCAGGGGGAGGATGGAGGGAAGGAGAAAGGGGAGAGGGAGCATGGAGGAAAGGAGGGGGAGGAACGAAGGAGGGGAATGGATGATGGGGGACCTCTAGCAGCCCATTGTTGCCCCCTCTGCAGGAACCCACACATGCTCCCTTCTGTTCCCTCTCCAGGATCCGGGGTGCGGCACTGGGCAGCCTGTGGCCCCCTGGGTGTCGTGGCGGCCATCCTGCTGATCCTGCATGCCAGGGTGTGCCGGGAGTGACAGAGCCTGCGGCACCGTCGGAGGGACGTGAGGTCTGGGTCCCAGAGACAGGATGTGGCTGGGGACCCGTGCTCACGGTGAACCCTTGGGCTGGCAGGGAAGGACGGAGCCCCCTGACCCCTTTGATGGCTGGTCGGCCGCAGGGCACCATCCCCTCCGCTCTGGGGCCCTCTTGTCCTCAGGGTCCCCTGCCTTGTCCCCTTGCAGAGTTGGCTGGGGGACGGAGAGCAGTGGCCGTGGAGAGAACCCCCAGACAGTCCGCCGGCAGCCTGTGCCCTGGAAAGGAGAGGGGGCGCCCGAAGCTCCCAGCTCTGCGGCTGTGAGATGAAGGGCCCGGGACGTGCGGAGGCTCTTTGGGAGCCCAGGGGGCCCAGCAGCTCTCGCTCCCCCAGACGGGCACCACCTGAGCCATATTGAGCAGACAGTGCACAGGATCCACGGGGCGATGCCAGCCCCGGCGCAGCGATCCAGCCCCACCGCATGGTGCAGGGCCTGCAGCCAGCAGCTCTCGCCCCCACAAACCCCAGCCCCAGAGTGCAGCCTGGCCGCCCCATGTGGTCTGCAGCCTGCGGCTGAGCCTCTCTCTGCCGGGGGAACTGAAACACCAGCTGCCTCTGTAGGAATCGCTGCTCTGACCAGGCCCAGCTCAGGGCTGAAGTCGCTGCTGAGGGTGGCTGCAGAGGGCTGCTCTGCCCCTGCAGCCGGGGGACACGGCACGCCACAGCCGCAGCTCCCGCACTAGGGGGTGGACGGGAACTCTTTGTACCCTGGGCAGGGCTGGATTTCCAGTGAGGCCCAGGAGGCACGGGCCTAGGGGCGCGGGCGAACGTTGCCACGTCTGTGCTTTGCTAGCCCAGCTGGGCCATATTCCGCCGTCCGTTGCTGGGGGGTGTGACGAAGTGGGACTGTTCTTAATGTTTCCTCTGAATAGTGTGGGGTGCCTCAGTTTCCCCTAGGCAGTTCCTAAGTCTCTAGGGGGTGGGGTAAGGGTGTATGATCATTGCAGAGCCCTAGAGGGCAGGTGTGTGCAGGAGTCTGGACACTGAGAATGGCCGACACCCTGTTTCCTGGCAACTGATGGCCTGGGCCCTTCCCCCCTGCAAGGTGAGAGCTAAAGGGTTGGAGAACAAAGGAATCTGGTGACCTCCTGGCCCGGGAAAGGAACAAAGCCCAGAGGAGGGGGGCCTGGAGGGAGTTTCAGTTGGGGGCTGGCTGGGACAAGGAGTGAAGGGCAGACGTGGTTGTCTGGCTCCCTGCCCCCCAAAATGGACCCAGCTGAGGGGTCCTGTACTCTGCACCTGCAAGCTCTATTTTAGACCATGTTCCTGTCATCTAATAAACCTCTGTTTTACTGGCTGGCTGAGACTCATGTCTGACTGCGAAGTTGGGGTGCAGGACCCTCTGGCTTCCCCAGGAGCCCTGTCTGAGTGGACTCGCTGGGGGAAGCGCATGGAGGGGCAGAGGAGGCTGAATGCTCCAAGGTCAGACCCAGGAAGGTGGAAGCCGTGTGAGCTTTGTGTCCTGAAGATAGGCTGCTCACAGAAAGGAGACTTCCCCAGAGTCCTGACTGGCTTCATAGGGAGCAGTTCCAGAGCATCGCCCAGGGACCCCATGACAGGGGGACCAAAACTGGATGCAATACTCCAGATGTGGCCTCACCAGTGGCGAATAGAGGGGAATAATCATTTCCCTTGATCTGCTAGCAATGCTCCTTCTAATGTAGCCCGATATGCCATTAGCCTTCTTGGCAATGAGGGCACCCTGCTGACTCATATCCAGCTTCGCGTACACTGTAATCCCCAGGTCCTTTTCTGCAGAACTGCTGCCTAGCCAGTAAGTCCCCGGCCTGTAGCAGTGCATGGGATTCTTTCTTCCTAAGGGCAGGACTCTGCACTTGTCCTTGTTGAACCTCATCAGATTTCTTTTGGCCCAATCCTCCAATTTGTCTAGGTCACTCTGGACCCTATCCCTACCCCCCAGCGTATCTAACTCTCCCTGCAACTTAGTGTCATCTGTGAACTTGCTGAGGGTGCAATCCATCCCATCATACAGCTCATTGATGAAGATATTGAAAAAAACCAGCCCCAGGACTGACCCCTGGGGCACTCCGCTTGATACCAGCTAGCCAACTAGACATGGAGCCGTTGATCACTATGTGATGAAGTGGGAATGTTCTGAATGTTTTCTCTGAATACTGTGTGTACCTTACTTTCCCTGTGTACTGCACCAATACTTAGGTGGTGGGAATTGGGTGTGTGATTTTGCTGAGGCCCTCAGGGCAGGTGAGACTGCCCAGCTATTTGCAGCTGTGTAACCTGAGACCCCGGAGGGGGGTGCGACCAGGTGACACCTTTGTCCTGGGAAAAGAGCCAAAGGTCAGAGGAGGGGCTGGAGGGAGTTTCAGTTTAGAGCTGGCTGGGGACGTGGAGGGAGGCCCAGGCTGGGATCTGGGCTCCCTACCCCCCAAGATGGATCTGACTGAGGGGTCCTGTTCTCTGTACCTACAAGCTCTGTTTTAGACCGTGTTCCTGTCGTCTAATAAACCTTCTGTTCTACTGGCTGGCTGAGAGTCACGTCTGACTGCAGAGTTGGGGTGCAGGGCCCTTGGGCTTCCCCAGGACCCGCCTGGGCAGACTCACTGTGGGAAGTGCACAGAGGGGCAGAGGATGCTGAATGCTCTGGGGTCAGACCCAGGAAGGTGGAAGCCATGTGAGCTTCTTGCCCTGGAGACTGTCTGCTCAGAGAGAGGAGGCTCCCCAAGAGTCCTGACTGGCTTTGTATGGAGTAGTTTCAGAGCATCGCCCGGGGACTCCATGACACACTACCCGTTGAGCCCGACAATCTAGCCAGCTTTCTGTCCACTTTATAGTCCATTCATCCAGCCCATACTTCTTTAACTTGCTGGCAAGAATTCTGTGGAAGATCGTATCTAAAGCTTTGCTAAGGTCAAGATATATCACATCCACTGCTGTCCCCTCATCCACAGGGCCAGTTATCTCCTCATAGAAGGCAATTACATTAGTCGGGCATGATTTGCCCTTGGTGAATCCATGTTGACTGTTCCTGATCCCCTTCCTTTCCCTCAAGTGCTTCAAAATGGGTTCCTTGAGGACCTGCTCCATGATTTTGCTGGCTTCTGCCCGGCCTCAGCCACTGAGTCTTCCCTGAGCCCGTGTGAACGACCCAGAGTGAGACAGGAGCTGAGGGAAATGTGGGAGAATCCCAGCGAGCATGGGGGAGGATGGGGCCTGAGAGCCCAGACACAGGTGGGGGGGGCTGCACCCGGCATTTAACCTGACATTTATTCAGTGCCCATCATTGGAGCTGTCACCTCCCACAGCCAGCCCCCGTCTCCCTGCCTAACTCTCTCCCCACCTCCTCTCCAGATTCCCAGCTGGTCCTGTCCGTTGGCCCCTCCCCGGTGAGGGCTGTGCTGGGCTCCGACATCCAGCTGCCCTGCACCTTCACCATCAGGGCCCAGGCCATCAGTTGCCAGGAAACAGGGCGTTGGCCATTCTCTGTGTCCAGACTCCTGCACACACATGCCCTCTAGGGCTCTGCAATGATCATACACCCTTACTCCACCCCCTAGATACTTAAGAACTGCCTAAGGGAAACTGAGGCACCTCCACACTATTCAGAGGAAACATTAAGAACAGTCCCACTTCATCACAGGGGGCTGCTGATGGGTGCTCAACATCCACCATTTTTTTCCGTGAGGGCTGCAGCCCCAGAGCCCCCTCGGAGTTGGTGCCTATGTGCCCAGCACGTGGCCTGGCAGCCTGAGAGCTCTCTGCCCCGAGGCATAACACAGGCCTTGCTGACTCATGAGGTGTAGTCCCCGGCTCCGGTCTGTCCCCATCCGCCCCTTCCCCATCGGGGCCTGACTCAGTTCTCTGGGGAGACACGTTCCAAGTCTCCCCCTTACCAGCCCCTGCTCTCACTGACGCTCCTGCTGTCTCCCTGCAGCCCAGCCACAGGTGTCCGAGATCCAGGTGTTACCGCACTGGGAGCCCCGGGAGGAGGTGCCGTTTTCTGTCCAGATGCAGAACTTTTACCCCAGGGAGATTCACCGGATCCAGTGGAGCTGGGACGGGGCAGGGAGCGGGAGAGACGAGACCCCAGAAGTCAGCCAGAACCCGGATCTCACATTCAGCGCTACCAGCGTCTGGAGAATCCCCAGCCGGGGACTGAACCGTCCGGAGCTCAGAGTCCGAGTGTCCATTCAGCAAAGCCCCCGAGAGCCCCCGATCGAGAGAGAGATCAGAGCCGGGGACACAGGTGATGGGGGCTCCTTGGGGTCGGACGGGGAATGAGCAGGAATCGCTGCCCCCACAGGGTCCCTGAGGCATGAATGAGGTTTGGGAGCTAATATTCCTCGTCCCCCTTTCCGGCTGGAGACGCCGATGGGTCGGGGTGTAACAGAGTCACACCCGGGGGTGATTTTATGGGGTAACAGCCCCACGGAGGGGTCAGATCTCTCCTGCCTGAAGGGAGGGGGAAGCAGCCCTCACCAGGCCCCCTCTCCCCCTTGCGGGGCCTGTAACTGTCTCTGGATGTTTCATTCCCCAGGTTTCCTGCGGCCCCCGGAGGTGTCGGAAATCTCCCAACCCGAGTCAGTGACGGCGGGGGAGGAAATCACCCTGAGCTGCCGCATGGCGGGGCATTTCCCTGGGGTGCTGTGTGTGACCTGGCTCAGGAGGAACAGGGGGGCTGGGGCGGCTGTTCGTATACTGAACTCAGCTGAGTACAGAATCGAGCCCGGAGCTCCCCACACACAGGACGGGAAAAGCTTCCAGCAGGAGACGAGACTCCTCTTCACCCCCTCGGTGCAGAGAGACCAGGGGGCAGAGTACGTCTGCCGGGTGGGACACGCCATCCTCCACCCAGTGGAGAGACGCAGCAGGGAGCTGCAGGTCACAGGTCTGATCTTTCGTCTTGAAAAGCCTGCAACTCGTACAGGATGTTAGGAATTTCCCAACTGGAGCAGGCCAGGGCCCCTCTAGCGCAGCACCTCCCCCTTGACAGCGGCCAGGGCAGCTGCCCCAGAGGACAGGACAAACCCCTGCCGTCGGGGGCTACAGCCTAACGCAGGTGGTTACCCCAGCTGGTGGGGACTCAACATGGTGTGTTGCACACACGCACCCCTTGTGAGAGCGCTTCCTGGCTGCACCTTTCCTGGCTGTTGTGTGGGTGACCCACTTCCCTGGGCCCCGTGTGCTTTAAGCCTCCAGAGTCTGACCAGAGTCCAGCCACAGCCCAGGGCTTGGGCTCTCTTTGCCTACTTGTGGGGTGCAGATCCTCTGCCTTGCACCCCCCCCCTGAGAGCTCTGACCCTGTGCTCTCGCTGCCTAGCCCCAGGATCAGTGATGCCCCCCCAAACCCCACTTCCTCCCCCTGTATCTCAAACACACCGTCGCCAGAACTCCCGCTGGGTGGGCGCTCTGGGGTTACAGTTTCCCTCTTAAGCAGCATAACAGGGCGACTTGCCTTGGGCTGGGGGGGAAGCTCTCCAGGCAGGGAGCCTGGCAGAGACCCTGGCCAAGAAGCAGGGCAGAGTCTGACAGACACACCCTTGGGGAGGAGGGGGCTGGGCCCAGCTGAGAGGGGTATAAAGACTGTAGGAGTTTGTGCTTTGTTTTTCAAATACTTTGGGCTGCTGGGGGAGAGACTGACCTGGGGTTGGGGCTGAGGGGCCTGGAAGACTAAATAAATGGGATCCCTTGTGGGGTTTGTTTGAACTTCTATTTGAACTGGGTGAGTTCTTAAAGGGGCCCCGAACAGGGGGAAACTGAGGCAGGAGATGCAGCGTGACTCCTGGCCACGCGGGGACACCCAGGAGACAGCTGTCCCCACTCCAAGGGACAAGCGATAGTGAAAGCCAGGGCACACAGATTTGCACACTCCATATTTAGCAGCGTGAGAAACACAGATCTAGACCAAAGCAATAAACCGTACATGTGTTTCCCTGCCTCAGTTTCCTCACCACTCTGGAGCATTCCTTGGGCTGGAGTCAGAGTC